ATCCACAGATCCACCATCCATGGCTTGAAAATATTCTCATTCTCAATCTCTCTCTCTCTCTCTCTCTATCACACACACACACACACACACACATTAAAAAAAAACTAGTCTTGATCTTGCCATTTCATATAAGAAACACTATTTTATTATGCCACTGTATTTAATAGGACTTGAGCAACCATAGATTTTGGTATCCACAGGAGTCCTAGAACCAAACCCCAGTGGATATCAAGGGCCCACTGTACTTAAAAAACAACAACCCTTTATGAGCTCCTAAGAGAATAGCTTAAACCTTGAAAATGTGCTGTCAAAATGCCTCTAAAAAAGTACTCATGAAAACTGACTTTCAGAAGTAAGTAGAAAATGTTCCTATTATACCCATTAAGTGAGTTTCCCCACTTATTACATTACTTTTGAAATTTAACTTAATACTAGACTTTAAAAAAATCTCAATACACCTACTTATTTAATTCATAAGCCATTACTTCAAAGTGCTGAACCTGAATTCTGAACAAGTTTTACAAAATGAGCCCCAAAGACTAAGCAGTATAAAAACAGCAGCAGCAGCAGCAGCAGCAGCAGCAGCAGCAGCAGCAGCAGCAGCAGGCGGCCCTATGAATGCACAGCTGAACAAAGGATGCAAATAGGAATGGAGAGAAAATGTTGCCATACAGAATGCTATTTTGGAGGAAAACAATGGTAAACCTTATGTGAATAAATTTTACCAAGAAAACTCTATGAAATTATTGTTATAAGCCAAGTTGACACAAAGGGATGTAACACCACCAAATGTAGTAAAGAATGTGCAACAGGGCTGAGATAAATGCAGGGTCAGGATTTACAGATTATAGGCTTGGAGGCTCCCCACATGATTAAATTGGGGTTCTGAATCATATGATGATAATAATTATGAGAATAGGTGGAGTTGGGCCCTAAGCAGACGACTAATAAAGTCGTCTTCTGGGCAGAGAAGAGGGGCAGCCGCACGAGCGGCGCCCCTTCCTCTCCCCGAGGTCGCCCCCAGATGCGCCGGCCGTCCGCACGACCGGCGCATTGGGGATGACCTCACGGCGCAGCGCCCACATGCGCTGCGCCGTTTGAGCCAGGGAAAGTGCGCCCGCCGCTTTTGGGGCGCACTTTCCCTTAGATCTAAAAGGAGCGCCAATTTGGTGCTCCTTTTAGATGCGCCGACGGTGCGCCGCGGTGCGGAGGCTCCGCACCGCCGGCGCTCCGTCCGGCGGCGGCTCCAGGGCCTCCGTGTGCTGAGGCCCTTAGTTTATGTACAAGCTATGGGTGCACCCTCACTATAGAAATACTGCAGTTTGACACCACCTTAAGTGCTGTAGCTCCATCCTATGGAATCCTAGGATTATAGTTTTACAAGGTCTTTAGCTTTCTCTGCTGGTGCCTCACAAAAATACAAATCCCAGGATTCTGTAGGATGTAGCCATGGCAGTTAAAATGGTACCAAACTGCAGTATTTCCTCAGTGGAGATGCAGCCTAGGGCTATGTCCACATGGGTCAAATAACATATCCTCCCCCTGTTCCCATGGTGACAAGTCCAGACAATGCACAGCCCAGTTTCCAGTCCTGGTGTAAACTGTCTGGATACTGTATGGCACCGAACCCACTCTATACCACCCTTAAAACCATTTTTTTAAAAATCACCTTTTGCTCTGGATTTTTTAGGAATACCCAGAATCCTCCATTATGATGCCAGGCATCTGTTTACAAAGTGTCCTGCTGTGCTGCCCACTAGCATGAGTCACTCTCTCTGAGGTCAGAGCGAGGCATCTAACCATGTGATCAATGCTGGATGCCTCATTCTCAGAGCAAATGAGTCGCACTAGTGGCAGAGCTGCCAGGTAGCACAGCAGGATGCACATGTGAACAGCTGCCTGGTGTTGCAACAAAGTGGCTGAGATAACAGGAGGATGTCAGGGCCAGAATATTCCTGACTGCTCCCAAAGTATTCTGGCCCATGCAAACACCTCCTATGTCTCAGTTTAGCAAGTACAGCGTATTGTACAGTGGAAGGAAGGGTTGAAATGGGCCTCAGAGCTCCTTGCTATCTGTATTGAGTGCAGGTCTATAGATTGCCTGGTAGACTACCTGTTTTTAGGCTCTCTAGATTTAGGCTTAGGGCCTAAGCAGACTGCCAGAAATAGTGCACATTAAATTGAGGCACTGCCCTGGCTCAGTGCTAGGGAATCGTGGGAACTGTAATTTATTGTGGCACCAGAGCTCTCTGACAGAGAAGGCTCAATGTCCCAGAAAATATTACAATTCCCATGACTCCCTAGCACTGAGCCAGGGCAGTGCCTCAATTTAATGTGCACTATTTCTGGCAGTCTGCAAAGGCCTTTACTATAATTCTGACTGGAGCAGTGCAAAGACCAGGAAATATTAAGTGTGATCTTAGAGGAGGACAAACCAATCCAGGTCCTCTCAGCAATACCCATGACTCTAAGGAAAAGATGCTAATGAGATTCTCTGGCTAAATCCTACATTCTGCTGCTGTGTGTATTGCTCAGAGAGTGATTTCAGATAACCTGAGAGTTTCTTTCTTCAGTCAGTTCAGCTAAAAACAAGCTAGGCAGAATTTAGCCAATGATCTCAGCAAGATTTTAGCAAGAGGCCTCCAAGAGGAGGAGGCAGGAAACTTCTTCATTGTTAGAGATAGAAGCAGCAAGCAAGCCATAGATAGTGATGCAAAATGTATTATCTTGACATCTAGGCTCTCTTCAATGGGGAGTTTGGGTAGGCAATCTCTCCATTCCTTAGTTGGAATGTCATATCTAACAAAAGAACTGACATCATACCTGACTTTCATTATAAACATTACAGAGTACTTAACCTGTAAAATCTAAGGTAGTAATTATTGAGGCTTTTGTACTTTTGCCACATCATTAGAAAAGACAATGATGGTAGGAAAGTTAGGGGGCAGTAAAAATAGAGGAAGACCACATGCCATATGGCTAGACTCAATCCAAGAGGTCACAGGTATGATTTTGCAGGACCTGAGCAGAGCAGTGGAGGACGGGGGATCTTGGAGATGTCTCATCCACAGGGTCCAATGAGCTGAGGTCGATTCAAGGGCAGTTAACAACAACAATATCTGAGTCAATCACCCACTTAAGGAAAATATTATAGGATGCTTGACTTGACAATGGCCCACCTGAAATGATCTCCATGTTAGTATTGTTACTGGATAGATGCAGGATGTCTGGCTGCAGGTAATACTCTTTGCCTAGGAGGTACTCATGCTTAATGTCTGACTGATTGCACCCTAAAAAATCCATTATTCAACACTGAAAAGGAGCTATTATCTAGGACTTATACTTTTGTCATTTTCCTTTGGACATTTGTTTGAGGAACAGAGATGGCTATTTCCTTTCATCACTAACACAACCTGTGTTCCTGTTCTGGTGACTCTCCCTCTTCCAACAGGCTCCAGCTGAACCAGCAATTTCTATGTAGAACGTAAGTCTTGACAGGGATGTTGTACAAATACAGGCAATTGGCAACAACTCACAAAAATGTGTCAACTACATTCAGTTGGTAAATTCTCCATACATTTTACAGTTTAAAAGCTGTTAAGTTTGTAAGTCTGATTTTTGTCCCCTGAGAACCCATGAAAATGTGAATAAATGAGGACTAACTTGGAAGATAAAGCATTGCACAAAGATATTGCATTCATTTGTGGTTTAATAACTGCATATCTCCTTTCAATACTCTCTCTGATCTGTCATATGAAATAGTACATTTCTGAAGTAACAAGCTGAGACAGCTGTGGTTTGGTTGACACTGAAGAGATACACTACATGAAGTTAGGTAAGTCTTTCATTTTCAGTAATATAGCTAATGGTTAAAAAAATACCCTTTCTTTTTCCAAGAAACCACTTCCAGGAAAATGTTCCTTTGCTTTTAAAATGAAAAACAGATACAACAGAAATCTAATTGAAAAATAATAGGCTGACTGGCATCAGGTACTGTAGGAATTAAATCTCTTTAACCTGGCTTTAAAATTAGTACTAGGTGCAGTCCAAAAATACTCTGAAAATTATTTCTGATGTTAAATACAACGGTATATATATTTTTACTGTCAAAGTAATTCTATTTATACATCTTTGTTTTTATATCAATGTAACTCTCCTTCCAGAAAAATATCTTTTAAAATATACATGCATTTAGACAATAATTTCTAACTGTTTAGGGGCAATCATAATGGAGGTGAGGGGGTTAGTAAGCATTGTTCATGTAATTTTCCATTGATATGTGCATCCTTTATTCCTCTGTGCCATGGCATTACCTATAATACTTCTTGTCACTGGATTGTACCCAGATGTGTCTGTACAATTGTACTCCAGATGCATTCTGATGTGGAGGACCTTCTGTTAACAAGAGAGGTCCCAGGTCTTCTTAGCCACGTGCATTATTGCCAAATGTGTCAAGCGTTATGTTTTAGACCACTCTAATTACAATGAATTCTCAAATCTTCCAATCAAGTTGTTTTAAGGTACTTTTTACATATTTACATTATTAGGTACAGTGGTTATAAAGATGACACTGAGGAAAGGACTTTTCAGTATTATTTCAGTAATTTTCAGTAATGGAACCAGGAATGGAATGATTTATAATCTGAGTTCAGAAAAGCTGGAAAAATACCCAGAATCCCTCAGCCAACATGGCTATCTATGGGCATTCTGGGAGCTGTAATTAAAAAAGTTGATTTCTCAAGCTCTGGTTACAAGGTTGTCTTCTCAGACCATGTATTGTTGCTTGTTATAACAATGCTATTTAGCTTTCTTCCCTTGTGGAAGTTAGAAATACTGAGACAGCTTTGTTGTTATTATTGTTATTGTGTGGCTTCAATTCATTTCCAAATTATGGCGACCCTATCATGGAGTTTTCTTGGCAAGTTTCTTCAAAGGGGGTTTGCCTTTGTCATCCTCTTGAGGCTGAGAAAGTATGACTTGCCTAAGGTCACCCAGTGTGTTTCCATGGCAGAGTCCAAATTTGAACCCTGGCCTCCCAGAGTCATAGTCCAATGCTCAAACCACTAGGCCACACTGGATCTCCTACAGAGACAGCTACCTGCCTGCTTTCCCCCAATGGCTCTTTCCTGTCCATCCTGTGAGTTGCTTTAGGCCAAGTTAATTGGCTCACATCTTAGTTTTAAAAAATGACTATCCTAAGCCTAATATAGGCTACAGATGGGGTGGTGGAGATGAAGAAAAAGCATGTCACAATTTACATCCTCCCAACCCTAGTGGGAGGGAAATTTTGATGAAAAGAAATTTTAGAAATAAAAATTGGGAGAGTAAGGGCATGGAAGGTGAGTGTGCAAGCCTCTAGTTTTGGTGAAGGTAATCTGTGACCCTTGGACCTCTGGCAGTTTCCAGCACCTGCCATAAAAGCTAAATGAACAATGATCAGGAATGAGCACCTTGATGCTCATCATGTCAAGGATCAAGCTGGATGAAAAAAACATATTAAAAATACAATATAAATCCAGGAAGGTGGGCAGGTTCACCCCCAATCTCTTTTATTCTCAGAACTCCTCTGTGTGAAGAAAGTTAGGCTGACACATAACTGGATCTCCTCAGTTCTAGTAACATCTGTACTATATTGATTTTCAGTTAGATTTTGAAGTGCAGATCCCTGGATTCTTACTAGTTCTTTGACATCCCTTTGGCTGGTTATATATCATCCTGGTGAATTCTTTAATTAATGGAGAGGTGCAGTATGGTAACACTTTGCTTTTTTAATGGGAATACTTTTTGCACAACAGTCAATGAAACCCAGATTTTACATGTCTGTCCAACTGTAGGCTAAATGCTCTTGAGGCAATGATAGTAAATTTAAGTATTTTGGAAAAAGAAACCATCTGTCAAAGGAACAATAAGGCAAAGTTACAGACTTTTAAAACTATGTAGATAAGCTTAGTAAATAAGCTTTTGAATATGCACGAATACAGTTTGTTCATCATCATCTATCAGTTCCACAACATTATATTAAATGACTTTGTGTTTCTTTTCATTTTAATCAGTCTGTTTAATCAAAATTTGACTTTCACAATATGCCTTTTGTTTCTTTTGCTTTTGTTGGTGCTTTTGTTTCTCATCCTGTTCAAAAGTGATAGTTTTCCCCCATTATGTTTAGCCTGGAGAAGTGAAGGTTGAAAGGTGATATGATAGCCGTATTTAAATATTTGAAGGGATTTCTTATTGAGGAGGGAAACAAGCTTGTTTTCTGCTGCTCCAGAGACTAGGACCCGAAACAATGGATGTAAGCTCAGGAAAAGAGATTCCACCTCAACATTAGGAGGAACCTCCTAACAGTAAGGGCGGTTCGATAGTGGAACACACTACCTCGGAGTGTGGTGGAGTCTTCTTCTCTGGAGGTCTTTAAACAGAGGCTGGATGGCCAGTTGGGAATGCTTTGATTTTGAGTCCTGCATGGCAGGGGGTTGGACTGGATGGCCTTTGTGGTCTCTTCCA